AAAAAATGTTTTACTTTTTAGCGGTTTTCGTATGTCACAAAAAAGGGTTATGATATAAATAGATATTTTGAAGTGAAAATAATATATTGACAATCTTGATTGAATGTGTATTTAAATTCTGAAAAAATATTTCAATTAATCGGCCACTTTTCTAGGTTAGTCGACTAATGATATTTCATTTAATATTGTGTTTAAATCCTATTGTATTTGCTCAAATTTGTCTTTGTGATGTAAATGAAACAGTCATTCAACAATCGACTTCCATAATACAACATGCATTCATGCCTTCAATACCTTCAAGGTAGTCGTTGAGCAATTGATATTTCCTAATTTGTATAAAATGCCTAATTTAGCATGTATGATATATCACAATATTATTATAATCCACATTATTATCAAAACATTTATACTCATTTATAAATATTCCATAAGAGATGGAATGTATTCTGTAAGTATTAAAATATAATTTTCTTCTATTCATTTATAAAACTAATATCGGAATACTGACAATTGCCCTACAATTTTAATTACTCAAGTAAAAAATGCATGGACCCAAAATATAATAATAATCAAAACCGTTTTAACATTGGAGACTTCAAATAATATAACTAGGTCGACGATAAAAGATGTTGTTTTTGTTTTCGAATATTTCCTTATTTAGGACATAGGTGTATGACTGTAACTGTTTGAACAAGCATACAAAACAACAAACCAAGACAAGTAGTCTTTTTATTTAAAATAAATAATACAAAGAAAATAATATTAAGAAAGTGAATATACAATTATTCAGAAAAGCAATGATAAAGGTTTTAAATTTTGAATATAAAAATAATATAGTAACATTATTCATGACCGGATGTAGACATTTTTAGTTGTTCTAAGAACAATTGTAGGAATATGGATAATAATAAAATATAATACAATACAAAAAAAATATATGTATTCATAATAATTTATAATTTTTTTTATTATTATATAAATAATAGTATATTATAAATGTATTTAAAATGTTTTAATTTCTGTAAATTCTGCCTAAGGTATACAACACATTTGTGTCTATATCGAGTATGTTTAACATAATAAAACTCCAAGGTCTTTTATATATTAACGCATTTAATAGTATGAAAAACATCTACACCATAAAAGAGCTTTTTTAAGTGTATTATAATGACTCATATTTTTTTCATACCGATACGAATTTAAGGTAAATAAAACGCAAAAAAAAATATTACTAACCGTGTAATGTTAACGCATTTATAACGTACAACGAAAATTCAGTTCATAAAATAAAACTTTACATAATATGGTTTCGAAACCCATATTTGGGCCTCAAAGAGCAATTCAGTGATCACAGATAAAAATACAAATATCGATAAAAGCATTGTACCTAATAACAATTATGTGCTTGAAAATGAATGTTTAGTTTAAGGGTGGATATGATTAGGGTTACATTTGTTACATTTTTGTTCTTAATGTGGTATTCACTTTTTGTAATCTCTGGTGGAACCAGTTGACATTGACCATTTAATAAAACATTTCAATTAAAACAATTTTTAGTTGTTGGGTAAAACTTCTCATCTATATTGGAATCTATAATGTAAGTGTGACTAAAGAAATAAATGCTCTCAGTTTGTTAGTTGTACATTCACTGATTACATACTTAACATACTATAATACATTTAAATGACAATTACACATAGGGCTTTACACATTAAAGGACTTGCTTCCACAAGGAGTTGAACAAAAGTAAAAAAGAAAGCAGAGTTTAAACATTATGTTATCTTTATAAATTAGTCGCAAATATAAAATAGGTTTATTTATTATCCACAAATTACAAAGCAATAAATATTTACAACGTGCATTATTTTTTTGCAAGCTTTAGAGGAACTACACTCATCGATTAATATGTCATCATACTCTACACTTTTTGTGATGTGCGATTCAATATTTAATAAAGCGATACTGTTTATTTAATGCACTAAATGATCGCTCTGAAGAGCAGTTTGATACGGGACAACATAGATACATTATCAGAGCAATATTTACATAAGGGTTTGAAGGGTCTTCAAATCCTTCATTTTTAATTGTTAGACACATCTCAATAATTGATTCACTAACAGAAGATGGGCTATGTAAAAATCTGATGGTGCTTCTAAAAAATTGTCACCCAGAGCGACCGCCCCCCCCCCCACCATTAAATACTTCACTGTCGTCTCTCTATATAAATGTATTGCTATTATAACCCATATATCGTTGTTAACAATATAATAAAATATTTTCATTGCCCATTTACTCACTCACATATAGGAACCTAGAAATTGATTACGCTCAAAGTGTAATTTTTCCCTTTTTTGGGGGGATTTTCCTTAAAAAAAAAATAAGTTAGATCACATATTTTTTTGAGAAAATTGTATATGTTATAGTTCCATTCTAGATAATATACCTTAGGTCTAATTTCCCCGACCTAAATCCCTAAAACTTTGCTTTGAAGTGTGGAATAAAGGAAAAAATTCTAGCTTTTCTATTGGAAACGGTTTAATTCCACACAAATTTGGAATTAGTTTGACTTGGTAGTTGTTAAATCTAAAAAATTGCCCCAACCAAATTTTTTTAAACTTTCAGCATTTTACCCAGGAGGAGGGAGGGTTGTTGAAATTTCCGGGTTTTCCTTGTGCGATTTTGTTGGTGAAACTTTTTAAATAGAAAATGCTAAGGTTATAAGAAATCGAAAATATTTTCGAAAAAAATACACTTTTGCACACATGTTTTAGTTATTATTTTTGCCATCGATAAATTTTCATACATTTTAAGTAGAAAAATACGTCGATCGAACGACAAAAACAATACCATATAAAATTGTCAATGTTCAAATTTCTCATTTTTATTTTGCACATCTTAGTGTTACTTTTGACTTTGAAAATTCGAAGGTCATAACAGATCGTCTAAACTTGAAAATGTTATCGAATCGGATAGGTATACTGAATTTAAGTATGGCTACCGACGAATATTCTCAAATGAAAAATCCATTAAAATTTGGGTCGGGACTCGAGTTGGGCCGAGCTGATTGAATGTGATAAATTCACTTTTTAAAAAACTAATTAAAACCTTAAACTGGTACTTGAGCACTCAAAACTTACTTGGACCACTTTAAGGAGTATCCATACAAATATTGAAAAGATTTGATGATTTTTTTTTTTTAAGATTCAATATGTTAAGAGTTAGAACTCCAGACAAATTTTCAACTAAAAGGTTCTAAAACACAAAAAACAATTTGTATCCCGCCGCAAGGGGGTGGGAAATGGGTCTAACTTAAATTAAAATCTCAAGTAAATATTCCTTTCAAGAAATTTTAATTCGATTCGACCATTTTTCTCGAAATAATAGCCAGTAAAAGTTGAAACATAAAAACTAGTGTGGTATTTTTTTAAATTTTAACTGTATAGAAGTGAATTTTTTCAGTTTTTACTACCTTAAAGTTGCCAACTAGAAAACATTTGCGATTTATAGAGTTGCTACTCGAAGGAATTGATCCAGTATTAAAAAGTTACAATGCATATACAGACACAAAAACCCTACATCATAATGCAAATAGCTTTCAGATACCAGCTGTTGACCCTTACTCATTGCAATCTACAACCATAAAAACGAAATTCCCCCTTAAATTCTAAGTAAAGACAGCTTTTTTTTTAATTAGTCAAAACTTGACTATGGCTATAATCTCGAAAGTCTTTTCATATACTTCTTATCTCCAGTAGTTAGAACCACGTGTCTTAAAAATGTACTAAGTAATGCTAATACTTAAGTAATGTTTTTGTGGTTTGATAATCAAAGAAACCAAATACTGTTACTTTTAAAATGTCCATAGTGTTTAAAAAATGTACTTAAATAGCAACAATTGTGATAAAAATAAATTAGGATTAGAAGAAAGAAACCCGGAAGAATTTAGAACAATAGCATTATTCCAGTCACTAAAACTCATTCACAGTGCAAACTAATCAAAACAACAATTCCTGGTTGATAAAATCACTTAGGGAAAAAATGCATAAAATTGTTAATGTGATAATATTACCGCCGATAGTACATTTTATATATTAAAAATATATGTAGGTATTGATAAATGCACTGTAAAGACAATGCACTTATAATAAACCTATAACTATTTTCTATAATTAGTAGGAATCATGTCGTACTCTTGGAGCAAGACTGCCACAACTCAAGTTCTGAGGAAATACAACTTAAAGATTGAACCTACTCGGTTAATTTTAACTTTGAAAGCTTTAATTTTAATACTTTTCAATTATTTTGTTGTTACCCGGTGCTTGTTATTTTAATTTCATGCTACTTAGTTAAATCTCAGCCAGACACCACAATTTAAGGTTACGGCTATTTAACAATAGGTTTTAACAAACCAAACTGCCAAATTTGTTTGTTGTGCCAGTTTACCATTTTAAATATTTTAAAATTCGTAATGAGAAATGTGGCAATTTTCTTTTTCTTTTTAGGTTATTAATATATTGCTACAAGACAAACAGTGGCTGTTTGTTGTAACTTCACCAGTGTCATCTGGTTAAGAATTATTATCAAGTTGAAAGTTAAAGCGCCTCAAATCGATTCAAATTGGATTAATTCAATTTTAAGGATTTTAAGGAGGGGTGATTTTGCAATATCTTATAGCAACTTGTATGATTAATAAATATAAGCATTTATGGTAAACTGTTTTTTGTTTTTTAGCAAAATAGAATTTAATTGGTCTTTGAAGTCATTTCTAAGCACATTAAACATAAAATAACAACTACACCAACAATTTTTGGGCCAAATTTGTATTTATTTACAAAAAACATCATTTTTACGTCATAAGTTAAATGAAATATATCTTCTTCTTTTTTTTGCTGTACGTTTCAAATCGTATTTACATTTAAAAATAAATAACCGCTGTAACAGACATGCTTATGCATGTGTGAAATTCGCTATAAAACACCAAAATATATTAGACGAGTATCACAATTTTTTGGTCTTACTTATTTGAAAGAGTAGAAAGTCATATTTTACAGCAACATGCACATCAAGATCAATGTTTTCCTATGTTCAATAATATGTATCCAACAGACATTGACAACATGGTCTGAAAAATTGTCAGAAGTATTTGGAGATGAGGTACCTATTTTTTTTTTTAATTAAAGCTATTGATATATTTTGGTTTATGTTGCTAACATAATTATTCAGTTTTTGTTGAAACACTAATAACGTATTTTCGTAAAAGGTAAATACGTATTTTCTATAAAGCACAAGATTAATGATTTTTTTTTTTTTTTGTTATTATTCCAACAGACAGCTCCAACTACCGCGCAGGTAATATTTTTTTTTTTTGCAATTGTCTAAAATACCATTTATGATATTTTTATAAGTAAAAAAAAATTTTTTTAAATACTTATGATAAAAAAAATGTATGTTTAAACATTTTCACGATTTAAATATCGATTCAATTTTTTTTTTTTTTTGCTGTTTGCTTAAATATGAATAATATTTAAAATTACATTTCAGGGGTTATACGATTTGTATGCGGCTATTGTTGAAAAATATCCAGATCAATCAGTAACACAAGATTTGACACAACTCTATTTCGATTCACAAGGTTATTCACCATTATATACCGACATGGTAACTCTATATTTAAACGGTATGTTGAAAAATCTCTATTGGCGTAAATAATGGAGGGGAGGGGGCAAAGGAAGCTTAAAAATTTTAAAAACTCTTAAAGCATCATTAAATTTCAATAAAAATTAATTGGGGTTGTTCCTGATTGATAGCTAACATTTTTTTAGAGCTTAAACGAGTTTAAAAGGATTTTACCTTTTTTAGCTCCACCTCTAGTTACGCAAATGAAAAACACAGCAAACTTTCAATAACACTTTTTAAATTTAGTTATTGGTCGAATATATTGACTTAAGCGGGACTAACACTAGCTAAGAAACAAGAGCCGTACTTTGGCTTCCTTGAGAGTTGCGGTCTTTATTGCAATACACTTATTGTTAAAGAATACTTAATGTTAATTAACTTAAGCTAACGAAAGAATATTTTAATATTTAATAGAAAAAACAATATCATTAATAAATAAATTAAATAATAATGGGAGAGATGATCTCTGTGTGGGACCCTTGTAAAGAATGGGTCAACGAAACCAATTATTATTTGTTTTTATTTTTTAATGTTATTGTTTAACTATAACTTAATTATATTATATTATTCCTCGCTTCTACTACAGCTTCTTAACTCTACATTTACTTTTCATTGTAGACATAATTTTTTTTTATATTTTAATCTGTTCATTATTTTTGATATGCTGACGCATAATTGATAGATAATGGTTCAGTGGTTTTTGGTTTAGTCAGGCGCGGATTCAGGAGGGGGGCGGTAGGGGTGGCCGCCCTCCCACCCCACCGTTGGAAATATCACAGTATTTGCTGTTTTAATTTTGGGGCAGAGCTTTTGTTTTTTATTGTTCATAAATCAATTTTATGTAATATTACAAATAAAATCTCTATCAGAGTGAACGCAGACTAATATTCACACCACATGGATATTGTAATTAACCATGATGAAGTAATCGATATATTTGTCCAATCCAACAGAAAGCTGGATTTTATTATTTAACTATTTTTAAAAATGTTTTACTATACATGCGTATAAATTCGGTATTTTATATTTTGGTTACTTGTTGTTTTTTTCGCTTTTCAATAAAGATATTCGATGTACTTTAAAATAATATAGTGTACCACAAATTTTTCCAATAAAAAAAAAAGTATAATTATTATGCGTTTATATATATATATATATATATATATATATATATATATATATATATATATATATATATATATATATATATATATATATATATACTTATAAATGCATTGCTAAACCGCCCCTCCCATTAACGTAAGCTGGATCCACGCCTGGGTTCAGTAGTCAAATAACTAGGCTGTAAACAACGAAATTTACATGGTTTAAATGGGCAAACTGTGCTACTACAAAATATTTTGATTATAAAACTTTTATTAGTTACTATTGTATTATATAGTAACTGTACTAAAAGTGTAACTGAAAAATGTGCAAAGGTTGACAGAAAAAGAAAAGACTAACATATTTAAAAATAGGTTTTTTAATTAAGAGAAAATCAACGTTATTCCTATTTGAATTAGAGTAATCTTTAGTCGACAAGGCAATTCCATCATTTTTTAAAAAATAGTCTCTTTCTTTATCAGACAACCTTTGTATATTTAAAAACTATACATACTTTGACAAATAAAATTCTTGATTTAGCTTTTAGCTAAAGGTATTACCATTAAAAACTTTTTAAAAAATCCATTGTAAGTGTGAAGCTTATGTGATATTTTATTTTAATAAGGGCATTTGTACATTTCAGATCAACCTCATACTGCAGAAGCATTTGTCAGTTGTTTGCAGAGAGGTGAGAGTGAGCTATTTCATCACACTGAGTTAAAAAAATGAAGCGAAAATTTTATCCCATCATTAACATTCACTTAACCAGTTTTTTTTTTAATCTTTTGTTAAATAAAATTTCTTATTTAATTATTAATAAAAATATAAAACTAAATAAATTATCTCCCATGCCATAAAATTGTTACAACCCAATGTACAACAAATATCTTTCGGAAAAACAAATTAAACTTTTATTATGCAAATACACAATAATATTATTATTTTCTTATAAATAAGAATTTTTCTTTACTATTTAAAACGTACCTTTTTCAATTTTCTACTAAAAATCTTATTTTCGTGTAATAACCTGGACTCACTTATCTAAGCTATTAAGAATATTGTAGTTCTTTTTGACAATGAGTCGATGCAAGGAGATGGTTTTTTTAAAAATAATAATTAAAAACACTGAATACTTCTCAGATTAAATACTTTATAATGATGTGAAACAATTATAAGTGTACAAATAAAATAATAAAAACGACCACTTGACTAAAAATTCGTATGTTTTTAAAAAATAATACATTGAAATATGAATATAAAGTGTAACTACAAATAAAATTTGGTTTAAATTTTATAGTTGGTTATACAAACGTATGAATTACTTAAACATAAACATTTTATAATAATATTACGTTTAGTCGTGTACGTTATCTTATAATGCATAGTTTAAATTGAATACAATATGAATAAATTGGATTCAAGTTAAAATTTAATAATGGTTACATGTATTATACGATTTTACAAAGTGTACCGGGTGTTTGGTTAACTATGGACCAGTATAAGTCAAAAACATAGAAGATATTTAACTTTTTTAAAATATTTTTTAAAATTATTTTATGGTTATTAGTTAGGACAAATCTAATATATTTTTGAAAAATACAACCCCAACCCTTATATGTTAAAACCGTATAAACTTGAGTTTTTTAAATAGTAACGTTTGATTAACTTTTTGAATTAAGAACTTCAAATCTATACAGATGGCCTTAATTGAAGCAAATGGAAAAGTTAGTTGTCGTTTCACCCTAAATGACTTACGTGATTTTGAAACTACTCAGAAATATACGAATGAAGCCAGCCGGGTTTCAAAATCACATCTAATATTAGTCTCTTAAGCATTCGCATGTGTACGTATGTACGTAACTGGAAATCTATGTTGTATATTCACTTTTTGCAAATAAGAGTTCTATTTCAGACAAATTTTCAACTAAAAGGTCCTAAAAACCCAAAAAACAACTTGCATCCCGCCGCAAGGGGTGGGAAATGGGTCTAACTTAAATTTAAATATCCATTTATATTCCATCTCGTAACAAATCGTCTAAACTTGAAAATGTTATCGAATCAGATAGGTATACTAAACTTAAGTATGGCTATCGTCGGATATTCTCAAAGGTAAAATCCATTACAATTTGGGTCGGAACTTGAGTTGGGTCGAGCTGATTGAATGTGATAAATTATCTTTTTAAAAAATTAATTAAAACCTTAAATTGGTACTTGAGCACTCAAAACTTACTGAGGTCACTCTAAGGAGTATCTATAAAAATATTGGAAAGATTTGATAACTTTTTTTTTCAAGATTTAACAAGTTATGTGTACATAAGAGTTAGAACTCCAGACAAATTTTCAATTAAAAGATTCTAAAAACCCCAAAAACAACTTGCATCCCGCCGCAAGGGGGTGGGAAATGGGTCTAACTTAAATTTAAATCTCAAGTAAATATTCCTCTCTAGAAATTTCAACTAGATTCGACTATTTTTCTCGAAATTATAGCCAGTATAAGTTGAAACTTAAAAACTAGTATGGTATTTTTTTAAATTTTAACTGTAAATAAGTAAACTTTTTCAATTTTTACTCCGTTAAAGTTGCCAGCAAGATAACATTTGCGATTTATAGAGTTGCGACTCGAAGGAATTGATCCAGTATTAAAAAAGTTACAATGCATATACAGACACAAAAACCCTACATCATAATGCAAATAGCTTTCAGATACCAGCTGTTGACCCTTACTCATTGCAATCTACAAACTTACAACCATAAAAACGAAATTCCCCCCTAAATTCTAATGAAAGACAGCTTTTTCTTTTAATTAGTCAAAACTTGACTATGGCTATAATCTCGAAAGTCTTTTCATATGCTTCTAATCGCCAGTAGTTAGAACCACGTGTCTTAAAAATGTACTAATTAATGCTTAATTTTAAAAAAATATTCCATCTCGTAGTGTTAATAAAATAGATAATGAAGTATACAATTGTGACTAGCCAAAAAATACTTGTTTTCACCGAGATGTACCCACTTTTCTTGCGCATGCAAAAAAAAAAAAATTTTTTGAACCTGTCTACAAATTATATCCATATTTATCAGACAATAACTAAATATTTATTACTGTTATTATTTTCTGCGAGTTTCTGGAAAAACGGGAGGAATTTAATTTAAAACTTTGAAAACATAAAAAAACCTATAATTAGTATAATTTTGTCCTAAATTTTGATTTTGCGGTTTGATAATCAAACAAACCAAATACTGTTACTTTTAAAATGTCCATATTGTTTAAAACATTTACTTAAATAGCAACAATTGTGATAAAAATAAGTCCAGTCACTAAAGCTCATTTACAGAGCAAACTAATAACAAAAACAATTTCTTGTTGATAAAATCACTTTGGGAAAAAATGCATAAAATTGTTAAAGTGATATTACCGCCGATAGTACATTTTATATAAAAAAAAAATAGGTATTGATAAAAGACTTGTAAAGACAATGCACTTAAAATTAACCTATAACAATTGCATATAATTAGTAGGAATCATGTCGCACCCTTGGAGCAAGACTGCCACAACTCAAATTCTGAGGAAATACAACTTAAAGATTCAACCAGCTTTCAAATGGTTAATTTTAACTTTAAAAGCTTTAATTTTAATACTTTTCAATTATTTTTTTGTAACCCGGTGCTTGTTATTTTAATTTCATGCTACTTAGTTAAATCTCAGCCAGACACCACAATTTGAGGTTACGGCTATTTAACAATAGGTTTTAACAAACCAAACTGCCAACATTTTTTTGTTGTGCCAGTTTACCATTTAAAATATTTTAAAAATCGTAATGAGAAATGTGTCATTTTTGTTTTTCTTTTTAGATTATTAATATATTGCTACAAGACAAAATGTGTTAGTTAGTTATTATTTCACCAGTGTCATCTGGTTAAGAATTATTATCAAGTTGAAAGTTAAAACGTCTCAAATCGAAATGAGACAGTCTTGATTTACTATGCTTATGTATAAAAAACTGTAGCAGTATTATATTTTTTTCAACCTAAAAAACCAAGAAATGTATTACAGAAACGTTGGTTAGGTTAGGTTAGGTTGTCTGGCCGGACACGAGGGCATTTGTTCCCTTAACCTTTTTTTTTTTCATCTACTTATTAATTTATGATTAAGACAATTTTGATCGATATACCATTACATAAAAAAAAAATGTAGATTGTAAATTTTACAATTTGCACGCCATGAAATAGAAAAACTTTTTAGACCCTTAGGAAAAGTTTTATGCTTTTCCGATCGTTATTTTGCTAAATTCGTTTCTTATGACTACATTTTGCACATCGATAAAGAAAAGAAAATGATAAATCGTTGTAAAGCAAACATCCAATATATTAATACAGTAGTAGTATTATATAGTAGTATAGTAATATAGTAGTATAGTAGTTTTGAGTATATTACAAAAACATGTTATTCTACTATTTTCGATAAATCAAAATACAGCAGAAAAAATAATATTTCACTCCATCCTTCATGCCGTCCTTAATTTTAATGTTTAATAACTCCCAAAGTAATTAGCCAAAACTGGTTATCGACCGGTATACTATACAGAAAATAGTTCTCAGTTTAAATAGTAAATTAAATATGTACACAAGTTACTATTTAAGTTTTTAATAGTTGATAGGCTTATGGAAAATAATAAAAAAAAAGGTTAATATCTAGTATTTTCATAATATTGTAAAATATGATAACCAAAAATGTTTTCAAAAAAGAAATACTACAAAATTGCAATTATTCTAAAGCGTACTCATTCCATCTTTAAACCATGACGAAAACATTCGGTTTGAGTTCAGTACAATTTTTTTTATCAGTTTACAAATACTATTGCTGCTTCGTGTTCCGCTCAATTTGAAAATATTTAAAACGGCAGAGAACATAAAAGATGGTGGACAATTTTCATCAAATTAGGGGTTCCGTTTTAGGCCAATACGAACCAATAAGTCATTAATGATAAGACCATTGCATAGGTGTATAAATTATTTTAATAATTGGTAGAGAGTGAGGATTTTGTATAATTTCGCACATTGGCGCATGTGTTTCAAAAGTTACACCGAGTTCAAAAGTAAATAAAGATTTATATGTACGATTTACAATGGAAGTATTATTTATCGAATTCTCGCCTAAGCATTTACTCGAAAACACAATATTTTTACTATAGAAAAACACTTGGGTTGTTCGATGTGCGTTCCCATTTCCACTGTTTACATAAATTGAAATAAACGAATCGACAAATTCAAAGGCCTATGAAATTCATGGCCAACCCGACTTATTGACGATTTTCTTGAATAATAAAAAAAAAACAATTTACATGAATAGTTTTTGGTGTTTTTTGTAATACAATGTTACTTCAAGGTCATTGTGATTTTTCCCCCTTCGGTAAGAGGATTTTAGGGAGGGGTGATTTTGCAATATCTTATAGCAACTTGCATGAATAATAAATTTAGACATTTATGTTAATCTATTTTTGGTTTTTTAGTAAAATAGAATTTGATTGGACTTTGAAGTTTATAATATAAATTAAAAGAGCCGTAGTTTTTTAACAAGTTTGATTATTATTATTTTTTTTTTTATAATATACTTTTATAATAGTCGCGTTTGCATTAATCGAAGTAACTGTTAAACGCCAAAGCAGTTCACTAAACTGCCTTAATCTACTATGCAAGGTTCCACTCGAAACCAACTCGTTTACAACCACTCTACTAGTAAACAAAATATTATGATACCGACCGTTGGGTCCTAACCTAATCCAACACGGGTCGATGTTACCAACCGACAGTTATTAGCGTCTGTTCGTTTCTCACATCTGGTACACCATGTTTGTAATTAGTCCAGTATTAAAATAGTAACAGTGTATACAGATAAAAAAAGGCCCACGTCAGAGTAAAACCAATACCTTCGCCGTTCAGCATCGAAGCTAACACTGAGTTGGGAGGGGTCTAAAAATTAAAAATTTTGAAAAATTGAGATCACATTTCTTATCAAGCCCTATAAGATATTGAGTGGCTCATGATAAAAAAATCACCCTGTATATATATATATATATATATATATATATATTGATGTCATGGAATGTTTAATAAATATAATATGTATGGCGTTGCAATACACAAATTTCTAACCGTTTTTTGTAAACTAAAAAAAAAACACAACATCGATATGTTTGTACGGTTTTTATACAACAAATGTACTTGTGTACTTGTTTATATGCTTGTGCAAATATGCAATTTAAAAGCCACACCTAAAAAATTCAATAGTCATCAAATTTGTTATGTACTCGTTTAACTGTATTTTTTTTTTCCAACGCCCTATAAAACAGGCATTCAAAGGTGGTAAAATTCATTCGTTCTGTCTGAAAGTTTAACCTCAGCTTTTAACTCAAAGAATTACACGATGATTTTCAAGTTGTCTATTGTGGTAATATATTTTATCGTAGCTGCTAGCTGTATGGACACCCAAACTGAACGTCCACCGAAATCTCCCGAAGAGGTAACTTATACTATTATTTTAAAGCTATTAGATTTTTGTAAACAAAAACTTAATAGCTTTAAATAATTATTCAATATTTTCTGAAACATTTAAAGTTGAAGTTTTACTTAATACCCTTTCTTATCTAGTAAACTATTATTACTTTTGCTTAAGAACTTACAATTTAAATTCTTGCCATAAATATTTATAACCAAAATAACATTTACCGTTGTTTGTTGAAAATTTTATTTTTTTGTTATTGCTATATTAGATTTAAGTAAGAATCGTAATTAAATAATCTGAGTAAATTCATTCATATAATAAATGTTTTACTTTTTTAGCCACGGATTTTTTGAATAATACATCCGAACGTAATAGATAATGTATTCTTAATAAAAGAAAAAAAATATTTTAGCCAATTCGGAATAATTTTGTATAAGCTTTGCTTAAGTGTTTGAACTTAAGTGCTTGCGGTGTATGCTTATAATCATAATTTTTTCAACAGCTCAAGTATATTCGTGTTACCAATAAAACCAATACTTTAAATAATACAATTATTTTTTAGTTTGGGTAATATAATATTAAATCTTGTAATAATGCGACATATACCCGCATATACGCTATTACAATTCAAATATTTTCTAAATTAAAAAAAAAAAAAATAATAACTATAAAAAAATAACAACCATATGTTAGGTTTAACTTTTTTCGAGGATCGAGTAAAATAAATATGTATATTTATTTTCAATAAAAAAATATAATAATTAAATTATTACATTTTTCTTTTCAACAAAATAAAATACATAAAAAAGATTTTTAGTTTTATTTATACTAGATTAATAAAAACAATTTTGTTATTGCTTGTTAATTAGCAAGTAAGTTATAGGTCTATTTAATATCTGTGCGAATTAAAATTTGAAAATCGAATTTTTTATGTAATTAAACTTATATTCATAAAAAATTTTCAGGTTATAAAAGAATCGTTCCAAGATTGTTTAAAATGGACGAACAATGGCACGGTACCCACAACAGGACATATATTAACCTTGGAACTGTTAATCCGTTATTTGGGTGGTCACTCTGATAATGAGATTACGGTCATTGAAGATTACTTTAATGCGAATCCAACCGAAATAAAAAATATAAGTAAACATTAACGTCATAGTATTATATTATCTTAGTTGCAAAACTGTAAAGCAAATGGTTTAACGGAAGTATTTTCTTTCAAAATTATTTAAATTAAAATACCTAAGCCTGAATTTTTTTATTAACAACACAAATTATTAATCATTCGGTGTTATCGAACAGCGTATGAGCCTTAAAAGTGTTTAACAATTAATGTGCGGAATATGTGAAAAGTGACAAAAAATATATCATACACATAATTTGTAATATAATACAAATTAGGACCCAAAAATACGCTCAAAATGATAAAAAAAAAATACAATAGGCCCCTTAGCCCTGACACAAATTTAGATTTATATAAAAACACATCGTTGTAAAAACAATACATTTTCAGCTAAAACAAGTTATTTTATCGATAACTGAGGTTATAATATTTAAATTCTAATTCTAAATTTTTCTTTTTTTAGCAAGCGGTATAAATCAGGAAATATATGGTGCCATTTTAAAATTATTTTGCGAAAGAGAATACCCTGAACTGACATTCGAAAGATGCGGTGAAACAAAAAAGAATGCAGGGATAATACGGTCTCTTGAAGAGTCGAAACGTGTTGCCCCAGGATATTCAAGCTATACAATAATTGATGGAAAATTTGATATTAGTATTTAAAGAAAAGGTTACATGAAAAAAAAATTATCTGATAATTTAAAGTTATAATAATAAAATGTATAAAATAGCTAAACTATTATTGGTTTGAAAATCATAAAAAATGTTATTAAAATTATAATATGTCAAAAATACGAGAATATAATATTTATCCAAAATATAAAATCATTGAATTTTTTTTTTCAAGTATAAAGTGTCATAAAGGTAATGCGAACAGTACAAGTTAATTGTGTGCTATAATACATTTCACTGAGTATTGTGACAAGTTTATCGGATAAACTGATGTCGTTTTAGAAAAATAAAAAGTACCGGATATGTCCTACAACAGGACAACTTTAAATAAAAGTTGTTAGCTTGTGTAATTATTACGCGAAAGTAGTGTGGAACAGGTAAAGAATAAAAGAGACAAAAATTAACTATAATAGTAATTGAATTAAAGTGTCATACCTATTTGACTTAAGTATGAGAGTTGTGACTATGAATCTCACCAAGTCAAAATTGAAGTATAAAATATGTTAGTGAGATTAGTGATGAACGTTAATAACAAAAACCTATTGAAATAGAACGGATCGAACAGTGGAATTGATAATTTAACGATAATAATATTTATTATAATAATATACAACATAAACAAGTGTTTACCTCTTATATATTTTTGATAAATATAATAAGTTTGACTAACAATAATAATATCATATATTATAAGTTACTGTTTTTTTTTTTTTGTAGAAGTGTTAAAATTATGTAAAATATTAAACAACAATTAGATAACAATTGTAAAACATATTTCAGAAAAGATAGTAAGATAATAGTATGGCTAAAAACAAATAACATCATATTTAATTATTTTTTTTTGCTATACGTAACATATTGCCATTTTCTGTATCGATGGCTTAGTGCACACTTGTTATAAGTCACAAAATTGAAATTGTTCAGGTGAGCCAAAAGAAGTTTTCAATTTTTTTAAATTCACATAACGTAATATTTATTCAAACTATTATCTATACATAAAAAATTCCTTTAAAATACATGTAGTTTTATTTCATGTAAGTTGAACTCGTGTGACATTTTTTTTTCTTATTAAATGATTTGTCATTTTTTGAAAAATGATGTGGACTTATAATAAGTAACAAAATGAATTTGGATAGGAATGGGCTTGTAATGAACAAGTGGACTTATTATTTTTTTCACAATTACTTTTTTTAACAGTTTACTATATTATTTTATTGCCATAGAAAAATTCAAAATACTTTTTAGGTCTTCATATTAGACTATAATCACAAAAATAATTATGTTACCTTAACATATTATAACATTTTAACATAGTAAAAATAACAAATGTTTTATCATAAAATATTAACATTTGATAATTTGTTATCATACTAATACTGTGGAATGGACACTCAAACAGCTTATCAGTTTGTTAACTATTTTCTTGATGCTTTCAAAACGCTGGAAAAATTAAAAACAAAATATCACTGACCTTATTTCAATAATAATCAATTATAATAAGTCCACTGCTTCATAGTTAATAATTATGCTCAAATATTATAAGCTTGTTGTCAAAATTATTTTAACTGCACACATATAACAAGTCCGTACATATAATAAGTGTGCAGTTAATAATTGAAGTATAAAAATCAAATGTATTCAAGTCCGGACTTGTGATATATGTGCAGTCTAATAACTACACTTTTATAAAAGTTCAAGGACTTAACATCTTAAGTTGAAGAGTTATTACATTTCAACAAAAACCATAATAGCTAATTGCCATTCATAATAAGTGAAAATATTAAATATCACAATAAATATAAGTTATAGAATTATGCCTCGTATATAAAAAATTAAGAGAATTCAAATTTCTATTCATTGGTATCAAAAAGTGTATTTTGGAAAAAAGTGGACTTTTTCCACAATTGTGCACTGAGCCATCGGTATAATGTACTCGGGATTAAGTAAAAATGTATTTTATAATAAATGATATAGCGCAGTTGAAAAAAAAATTATTGTTTAACCGACAAAACAATGCGATAATTTTTTCTGAGTTAATATCATTTAATATTTAATTGAATTATATATTTACTGGAAATCATCATATTACAAGGTTTTGGATACATAAGAGTTTTAACTCCAGACAAAATTTTGGCTAAAAAGTTCTAAACTTACGGCTAAATAACACAAAAAAGCTTGCAGCCCCCGTGGGAAGGTTGGTTAGGTGGTTGGAGGGGTGGGAAATGGGTATAATTTGAATTTGAGACTAATGATGTATAGGGGAATATCAAGTAAATATTTCTTATAAATTTCAACTCCATCTGACCCTTTTTCTCAAAATTAGAGCCAGTAAAAGTTGAAACTTTAATTTCGATTATACCCAATTCAATACCAGAAAGAAAAATTGTGTGATCTATAGAGTTGCTATTCAAAAGAATTGGTCCAGTATTAAAAAAGTTACAACGTGTACAGACACAAAAAAAAGCTCACGCCATTGCAAAAACAATTTTTTTTCTAACCATAGTTTTAGAAATTAAAAGTAGACCTTAAGAGAGGTAATCAAGATATACTGTATAGTATATTACATGTAAAATTGGTTTTTATGTTTCTAACAGAAAAAACAATTTTCAAGGACAAAAAATATTGTGGAAACTTGAAAACAACAATTTGCATAAAGTTATTAAAACGAATAGTAGTATACATTTACCTATATCAAACAAAAATAAGTAGTTTTTCAGTGAAATGTTTTCACATATGAAATATCTGTACAAGTGAGTACAGTTACAACGACAATAACAGCAGAAAACATAAAAACAATTTCGTTTTAACAGCAAATGAATAGATTTTCAATTGAAACCTATGCGTCGATAAAATATCTGTTTAAATTTTATATTGCAAATTGAGAACCATTTTCAAAAAATACTGGCCATAATTACGGGTTTGATAATAAAAACCAAGAACAAAAAAATGATAAGCAGTATGGTGCAATGTTAAAAAAAAACCAAAATGTATTTAACAAATAATAGAGTATTTAATACAATTTTTCTATTAGTCCCCCCAAAAAAAAATTTACTGTTAAAAAGTAATCAGTACATCATTTAAATAATAACGGCCTTTGTCATGATTGAGAAATTATATTTTATAACTATTAACAGATTTCTAAATACGTATAGAAAGAGAAATTAGTTTTGGATACCCACATCAAGTATTTTTCAATTAAACTACTTTTCATTTACCGATATTATTTTCAATAAATTGTCAAAAAATAAACAATTATGTTCTTGGTGTGTAGCTTCTATAATGGCCAAAAATTTGATTTATTTGAGACTGGTGTATATTTTTTAATAATTATTATTTCGGCTCAATAGGGCTGATGCAATGGCTGGAATTATTATTATACTTGCTGGAATTCGGGAAAGAACATACTATGCAAACGCCTTTTTACTATGTATATAATATGTAATATGTATATATCAAGTGTTTTTATACTGAAGACTACAAAAATATTGTCACATTTCCTAGCGTAGGTATAATACACTATGTATAGCTGTTATTGAATTGCTATATAGTATATGTATAGCTTGTATAGCTATTTATTGAACACATTTTAAAGCGGTTAACGTCGTGTAGGTAAATTTTTCTATCGACTCATAATAATTTTTGAAAACTATAACTGTGAAATCCAAATCCAAATAGTTGTGTTCAAAACCTTGTTTTGCCTATAACACAGGTTAAATACACCATCGAAGGCGATATTTTATATACAAAACCATAGGCGTAATTAGGGGGGGGGAGGGCCCATCTCTAGAATACCCTCCCTAGTAGCTCATAGGCTACATAAAATAACAAAAAGTTTTTCAGCCGAGTCTGCAACCATGAAACAGCATTTTCATGTTTCGTTGAAGTACCGAATATATTTAGAGTAGTGGTGAAATTATAGATAATGATATAGTATATTAAGAAGCAGAAACAAACTAGTATATTAAAACATCAAGTTTCTGGCTAATATTGTAGTATAGTATAGTATGGCTTAAAACAATTCATAGAGAATTTGGACCCTTAAACTATTTTGAATTTATCATTTAACTCTGATTTGAACGTTGAACGTACGTACAACATATCACTTATCTCTTATCTCCTATATCTTACTCCTACCTCCTACCCCTATCTCTCACCCCTATCTCTACTCCTCAACCCCATTCCCACCCCATCCCAATCTTCATCCCCATTCCCACCCCCAACACCTTCTCCGTGTGATAACGCTTTTTTGGTAACACTTTTTTCGTTATTAATTTTTCGGTTATGTGCCAGAGCTCAGACATGAAAATGTCAAAATGTACCATATTTTATAAAATAAACTTCAAAGTTAATTTTAAAAAATGTTTTACTATTTAGTTGTTTTTGTATGTCACAAAAAAGGTTATGATAAAAAATTGTATTTATCAACAATGAAAACTGTTTTATATAAAATAATTTATTACGAATTATAATTTCAATAAATAAAATTTTGGAAATTCAGTAAAATCTCTAAACAGTAGAAATCATTTGAAAACCACGGGGCCTTAATTATAATTTTAAGGCGTGGGGCCCGGGGCAACTGCCCCTATTGCCCCCTCCCCCCTCGTGCCATCTCTGACAGTAATCATTGTAATATGTGAATTAAGAGAGGTACAGCTACATAACGTACCATTCACCTTATCTCCTACTTTCGGACGTCTTGCTGTAATTAGAGCGCCGACTACATGTACGAAATATATGACAACTAAAAAAGTTAGCCCCATCGTCGTTGGTAACCAGAATTAATGAAGTGTCTTCAATTTAAAACCTTTAAATATTAATAACTTACCAACGCTTTAAGCTAATTAAAATTTTTCAGCACCAAATATTTTATTTTTTAGTTTTAAACCACAATTATTTTTAAAAAAACCTATCATCCCATTTTAAAATCAAAAGTTGCTATCGAAAAAACTAATTTTAGAGGGGGTTAAAACAGAAAAAAATTATGAAAAATTGAGATCACATTATATAAAAACATTTTGGAAAAAATAAATCCAATTATTAATTAAACCCAGTGAGATATTGAGTGGTTCACGATATGTCATCACCCTGTATATAATAAGTATTTTATTTGTAAAATATATTATTTTGATCTATAATACTGCAATTTATGGTCT